ATTGCTCAGCTGATGGCGGAATGTCGACACGTTACAATGCACGTGCACTGAGGGAGTCAGAAGAAGAGCCAGCTTGCTGTTGGCTCTCTTACTTGGGGTGAGGGGGTGATGTCTACCCATGTGGCTTCTTTTCTGTGGGTCCACAAGAAAGCGGTTTTAATCGTAAGGTGAAGAATAAGAACGGCTAATCATCAAATGTCAGAATCGTGAAGGTTCCGTCGCCTTTGAACGGCAATTTCGTGCTCATGTAATGGATGATTGACAACCGTATCATTTTTTATGACATGCATTAATTTCTATTTAGATGAATAGTAGTGATTTATTTTCTGATGTAATCAGCATGGGCAGTATATCATGAAGCTCGTTGAGCCCATAAGATTGAGGATAATAAGGGCGATACAATTGAATTTGTGTAAATAGAAATCTAGCAATTATGTTTGTTTATTGTTAATTCTAAGTTTATATGATTCAAATTGTATTTATATGTCGTCTTCTGCTATGCTTTTCAAATTTCTTCAATGACGATTGATGGGAGTTTTCTTAATGAAAAATAGCTTTTATCTTACGAAAAAACAGTCAATCGTAGAAAAATATTTCTCTTTTGCTCCCTTACTTTTATTTTACCTTTTAAGGCGAAAGGTTGGGACATCTTTACTGAGACTACGGAATATATAGGCTCCAATCCCAATTTTAACAGTGAAATGTTGTTTATAATTTCGACTTAGATATGCTAAATAAAGAAATTAGATGAACATAAATATTGTGATTTGTTTTCAGTTTCTTTTTAGATTAGGATAAAATTTTAGAGAAAGCAGAAAGGATCATCTATCGCTCTAATGCCATGTTTCGAATTGTGATCGATATGAAAGTAATGGTTGTGTGAAGACGTTAGCCATGAATCAATTAAACTGAGAGGCTAGGGTAGCAAATGATTACTAGTCAGAAAGTACAATTCGCAAATGTGGACATTAGTCGCTACAATCACGAAATTATGCATATATTAACATTGAAAGGAACCAGTGGCAGGCGTCATGACCAAAACCTCTTGAAGAAAAGAGTCCGAAGCGTTTATCAGCTGTCGCGGTCCGCAAGCGATGTCCAAATTAAAATCATGTGGATAAAGAAGTTGGTTCAAAAAACTTCCGTTGCAAGCTCAAGGCTGTCCTATAAAGAAGACCTAACACAAGTTAGCAGTTTGTACAGTTGATAGTTAAACATAATTTCTCATTAATATATTAATCCGCTGTTTCCTATTGGAAAATTAATAAACTGATCAATGATGTTTAGTTGAAATTTTACTATAAACCTATATTGTGATATTGATATTAATATATATTTTATTATGAGTTAAGGATTATAATTTATATGTAAATGATTTATATAGACCGTGTTTCGTTTATGGACGCAATCTGAGCTAATTTATATTACTTGTATAATTTTAAAAACTATTCTTTTGTGGTGTTTGAGGTTTGATATAATGTTAGCTGTTGCGAAAATTTGATTGTTCATTGCGTGGATTCATTTACAAAGCTTCAGACGTTTCACTGAATAATAAAATTCGTCTTTTTATAGACCTTTACACAAGTAACACAAAACAAAAATGTAAATTCTTTCAACACGCAGAGATCTGATTTATCATCTTTTTGGCTTGGTGTGGATTTGTGTGACGGTGATGTGATATCTGTTGACCACGTCGATGCGATTCTGATGTAAAAATGTGCCAAGATGCTTCGTTGATTCCGCGAAGGAATCTAAGAACGTAGCGCTTATATCGGGCAAGGGAATAATTGCTCTTCTTAAGATTACGCGCAACGGGATAGATGCTTAAGGAATCGAACCGGGGAGCTGGGCAGATCTGACGAGCTCTCTTCTTTAAACGGCGACGAACTCGTCCGATCGTTCTCATCCTCTCTGAAATTCGTGGCACTCTTAATATTCAGTCGCAGGGCTTCGCCATTCCTCCAAAATTCAGATCCCCAAAAACAATCCTGTGGCTGTATTATAGGCTCAGGAAGTCGGGCGGTTAAAGCGCATAAGATCAATTTTAAGGCTGGAGAACCTTGGGTGTCCTCAGCGACGGCCGAGACACCCTTGGGTGTCTCGGTTGGGCGAGACACCTCGGGTGTCCTCAACTTAGGCTGAGACCGGCTTCGTTTTGCACACTTGTCCATTTCGCGGTAATTCTTCATCGAATCGATTTGAGTGATCCAAAGTGCGTTGGAAAGCGGTGAGAGATTATAAACTTCGTGGTGTAGACGGATTGTGGATTAACTGGGAATATCGAGGACGTGTTCGTTTTGTAAGCGACCTGGGCTCCCGGATAGTTCGTATCTTCGTTATTCTGACACAAACTCGCTAGGCTTACGTAGTTCTCGATTCACTTCAAAGGTCGTCGACACTACTCAGTTCTCACTTGGATAGTGAGGTTCATCGTTTTTCTTAGGGCACCGAGGGAGTGTCGTTGAGACGTATAGCAATTTCGACGTCTACAGTTGCTTTGGTACATATTCAAGAATGTTTCGTCGGGGAACAAGTACAGTAAGATGAAGAGTCCAAAGAAAATTGTACACCCTAAAAATTCGCTCATTTTTGCTTCTTTTTCAGCTTTGTTGGAGTTCACTAGAGAAGGGAAGGGACATACGGAAAGGGAGAGAACATTGTCAAATTTTCCCTTTTTAACGTCTGATTTGGGGTATTAGGATTTTTGAGCTTAAATTTTCCACATTCCCCTTATCTACGCATCCAATAAAACTCTAAACAGATTAAAATCAAAGTTTTCTTACCTCGTTTCCTTCTCTAACCTCCATCAGAACATCATTTGATTAGCGATAGAACAATAAAGATAGGAGATGGTGAGTAGAAAATAATATTGCTAAATTTGATGCATAAGACGCAAATAAATGTGTCAAATGGATAACGTTGAGTGGTGACTTTTTACTTCTACATAAGTTAGGGTTGTTATGAAGCATAATTTGGTTGAGGCGTGAGAAGTATTTCTGATGTTTTGATCCATTGAGCAGCGACGGCAGAAGAAAGCCAAACAACGTAAAATGTGAAAATGGTGTACACAAGCGAATGGCGCCTATCACTATGAATCATCGACCGCATCGTTGGGACTCGTATTTAATCCTTCCTCTCTGGCTCACATGTGGCAGATAGGTAATTTGGCAATAAAGAAATATTATTATCATGTAAGATAAAGAATAGTATATAATCCTCATCTAAATTATTTTCTACTTTAGTCCATTGTCTATGTTGTTTACTTTTTAAGGCCCATAATTTTATTTGATATACATTTCTATATTATTTGTTTTGGTTTCTTAATTAGCGATCTAAGTTATAGCATTTTTGTGATTTGAGGGACTTAGTTTCAAAATACACTAAAAAGATTGCAAGGACTATATTTAAGTAAAAAAACCTTATTTCTCATAATTCCTGAAATTACATCGCAGCATTGACAACCTTAGTTTAATATGAAGTCTTGTTAGCTTTTGCATATAATGGCTTTTTATATATTATTTTTTTGAAATTTGTATATTTGTCTGAGTTATTACCATATCCTTGTAAGGCCTTGTATTCTTATGGATTGAATGTATATATTCAGCAAAAATCTAGTAGTTTTCTTAAGTTTGTCTTAGTATATATGTAGTTATACCTTTCAGAAAGAAACATCATTAATTGAAGCTTTATTATTATTTATTATTATTATTTTAATCTCAAATGTTAAATCAACATATGTATTTTATGAGATTCAGATAGAAAATAAAGCCTCTAAAATATATGGACACTCGTATTCTTATTTTCTCTCTAATTTACATTGACGAGAGGGCATTTGCACCTGTGCGATATTCACTCCACTTATTTTTTGTTGCTTTGTGTTGGAGAATTTGATAACCGAGAGGACCGATCGCACCGAATTAAAATAATTCGGTTCGGCTTAGTTTGATTCAGGTCCTAGGTCAATTTTAGTTAATTTGGTTTACTTGAAATTAATAATAACTGATCGAATCGACTGTTTGCTCCTCCGATATTTGCTTGTTACGAAATGTCTAAAGATTACTTTTCAAATATAACTATTCTTTAAATTTAAAATTATTATAATGAATCCCAAATATAATTAACATCAAATAATAACCATTATTTATTATTTATATTTAGGACAATATAATTCATGATTCCTCGTATAATTAATATTGTGGCCTCATGAATGCAATCATTCATAATTTTCAGGGAAGGTAAGTCATAATCGTCTTCTAAATCATGTGCATTGATGATTGAAAAGTGGAACTTTTACGCCATATTCACAACAAGAAGTGTCGAAATTAAATCTGAATTTTGTAACTATTACATGTAAACCAACACAAACTTCTATCAAGTTGAAGATAAGAGAAATGAATTTTTTTTATTTTAAATGAAGTTCATGAGGCTAATTAGAGACAAAGTTTTATATGTAGTTCCTATATATATATACTAGTTGTGAACACTGTGAAAGCACGGTATATCAATTTTTTCTGCTATTCCCGATTTTTAAATGTTACAGTAATATTTTTAGGTTTTTTAAATTGCTACAGTTCTCATCTCTGCTACAACTTGTTTAATGCTACAGTATTCTCATGTGCTACAACGATATTTTTTTAAAAATACTACAGTATCCAAATGTATGTTTACTGCATAATAATGATATAGGAAATGCTATTGTAGTATTTACTGTAGCATGAATAGTGAATATTATGTTCTTCCATTTGTATAGAGAAGTAGATTTCTCTCTGAAATATTATATATGAATCAATTATTTGAAAGATGGGTCAATGGTGTGTGTGGTAACTGGTAAGGCGTTCACCAGGCCCGGCTCTGGGGCTGTGCGAGATGTTCGACCGCACAGGGCCCCCTAAGATTGGGGGCCCCAAAAAAAACCCTTTTACCCTGATCTACCGTGCATTCACTACTCCTTAATTGGATCTCGGCCGTCCATTTAAACTCAAAACACCCTAAAATCCCTTCAACCCTCAGTCCCAGAACTCAGCCCCCAAAATCCACCCACCCCTCTCCTCCGTCTCCTCCTCTCTTCCGCCGGCGCCACAGACCCCGCGATTGTTGTGCCTTCACTCTTCGCCGCGGGTGCAGGTTTGGGTGCTCCCGGTTTCGGTCCCTTTAATCTTTTCGATGTCGCATAAGCGGCAACCTGAAGAGGAGGAGAAAGCGGCGTCCGGCGGGGGCTCCGATGAGAAGCGGCAGAAAGTTCCCGCTCTCAAAGAGTAATCACTCACCCGATTGCTTGTTTGATTTTTATTTATTTTTTACTATTTTTGGCGATTTTTTTGGATTTTTTGGGGGGTTTATTTAGGGTTATAGTGGAGGCCTTGAAGATGAATAGAGTGCAGAAGTTGTTGACAGCTCTGGAGCCCTTGGTTCGAAGAGTTGTAAGTTTTCTTTTTCCTTTTTTTGGGTTAGGTTTTGTTTGGGTTCAAATAATTCGTACTTAAAATGATGTTTGGTGCTTGTAACTGCTGTTTCACGCTTAAATTGTAGTTGTATTTAAGTTGTAATCAAGTATAATCTCCACTAATTTTATGGTTTAATTTGGCTTATAATGGAGATTTGGAGAGTCTTGCTGACACTTTGGCAGTCGAGAGAACATTTTCTTCGTCATCATCATCGAATTATATTAGATGATCTTAATTTATTGCTAATATAACTAGCAATGTTATCCCCATGAGATGATTATGATTGACAAAGTGAGTGCGAATTGATTTTTGTAAATTGCAGTTTCGGAAACTGAACACATTAACTAAATAAATGCCAGTTTAGTTCTTTGCATTAAGGGGCTGTTTGTTTATATTTAAGATGTCAGTTTAGTTCTAAGGTAGTTCATAGTCTTTTTGGTTAATTGGATAAACACTCAGATGTTTGTTTTCCAAATGCATGTATTGCTTATAGAATATTATTGACTATACCTGTTACAATCTCATCTACAAAAAGAAGTTTTTCAAAATTAAAATTATTAAAATCTTATCTGAGATCGACCATGTCACAAGAAAGACTAAATTATTAAAATCTTATCTGAGATCGACCATGTCACAAGAAAGACTAAATGGACTAGCTTTGATATCCATTGAAAATGATTTTACAAGAAAGACTAAATGGACTAGCTTTGATATCCATTGAAAATGATTTTATAGATAAAATTGATGTTAAAAGATTAATTAGTGATTTTGCAGCTAAAAATGCAAGGAGGACAATTTTTCGATGATACTTTTTGATGCTAAAGGCTTCGATATCTCTTATGAAGGTAAGCACAGATACAAAAGGAACATAATATGCAAGTATTTCTTATTGTGGAGAAGGTAAGCACAGATACAAAAGGAACATAATATGCAAGTATTTCTTATTGTGGACTATTTGTTCTATTGAAAAGCTTTATTAAGATGGGATTACATGCATTTATCTAATCGGTAACATTTTTTTCAGGTGACCGAAGAGATGAAGAATGGGCAATAGCACTTGAAAAGTATGTTAAAGACTATCCAGATGTTTTCAGGTGACCGAAGAGATGAAGAATGGGCAATAGCACTTGAAAAGTATGTTAAAGACTATCCAGATGTAAAAAAATCAGGTAATATTTTAATGTCACTTGAAAAGTATGTTAAAGACTATCCAGATGTAAAAAAATCAGGTAATATTTTAATGTCTGATCAGTAACATTTTGTTTCCTAGCATTTTAGGGATTCAAATTGAAAATTATTGATATTTTGTATATAGAGAAGGGTCTATGTTTACTTTTCGCACAGGGCCCCTAAAATCTCAGAACCGGCCCTGGCGTTCACCTTAGTCATACTAGATGAGTGTGCATGACGAAATTGGATGATTATCATAATTATAAATCTCGGAAAGAAATACATTGAACTACAGCAGAGCGTGAGACTGGTAAGAGCTTGGAAGAATATCCAATATTTCCCAGAAACGCGCCTAGCTACGTGGTCTCAGGTTCACGCGTCTGGTCTGTATTTAGACAATTTTTTATATTCAAACCGTACAGACAGGCGCGTTCATGTTACACTAAAAACACCTAGGGCACTAAAAACACCTAGAGGCTGTTTGGTTGTCAAAATTTTTGGGTTGTGATACGGCAGGTCATCAGGTGCTATAGTAGTACAACCAACTATTCTGTTTGGTTTGTTAAAATGGACGATATACTGTAGCAGAGTTGGTGCTAATGTAGCTGAGTTGACAAACCCTCAACATTTCTCAGAAAAAATGTAAGAAATTAGGCCCGTGTTACTATAGCTATTAGTACAACTAGACCACTCAATTCCACGGTACTATGTAGTTACCGTGCATAAAAAATAAAATTTAACCAATCACGCCTTTGTTGGGAGTACAGCGCGTGTTCTGAGGATTCACAAATTTGCCGAGAGAGAATGCACACAAATCAACTAATAATAGCACAAACTCAAACACCAAAGTTTAACGTGGTTCGACAAAGTACCTACGTCCATGGGACAAGAAGGGAATGTGTTTTCACTATAGAGAAAGAGAATAAAAAATAAAGATTACATGATAACTCAAAGCTCACAAATAATCTTTCAAACTAAACTCTGAAATCTCTTACAAAACCCTCAAACAAATTGCTCAGAAAAAACTCTATTTTCTGTGCTCAAAACTCTCCTTCAAGCTACCCCAAAACTCAATCAATATGATCGATGAACCCTAAACAAATCATGTTTCTATTTATATCAAAACAGAAACCCAAACCAAACAGGAAACCAAAACATGACAGAAAAACCGTCGTAAGTCGACTTATCAGTGGGAACAAGTCGACTTACCATAAGTCGACTTAACAGGCTCTATAAGTCGACTTAGCAGAGCGAAAATCAACAACTGGAGAATAGAACATAAGTCGACTTGCCAGTGAACAAACCAACAATTCCAGAACAGAACATAAGTCGACTCGTGCACAGACACAAGTCGACTTACCATAAGTCGACTTATGAATGTGCATGAGTCGACTTATGACAGAAAAACTGGATTTTTCTGAGTTTCTCCACAATTCTCCACCTCAGTGAAGTTTTTCAAAACTGAGCCGACACCAACCAAACCAAATGTCTCACTTGTTGCGTCCAGTACGCAGTGATACAAAAATCACAACGGACTCAATCCATAACAAGTCGAGACTCAAATGAGAATGTGATCACTCTCCAAATATCGGTATCTACTCATCAAATCGGCTACATCAAATTGACTGCCTACGTACCCCCTCTCCTAAGGGATCAAGCCGCTCGCAGTTCATCCAAATAGCCTCCAAAGCTCCTCAATCAAATAGAAGACTTCACAACTCTTCACTAAAAAATCTGCGGCTGATAGCTCTCCCAGTGGCCCTAAAGTGAAACAAATTAAACACCTCCACCTGTAGTGAACCAATGGCCGTATCTAAATCCAAACTATGTCCATCAGCTACACTCGAATCAACCAACTCATCATCTGTATCCAAATCAACATGATCCCCAAATCGTATCACCTCAGCTGGAATCCCAAACGATGTAGTATGACCTGAAGTATGTGGAGTAATCTCCATCTAATGTGAAATAGTATCATCCTCCACCTACTACAATACATCTAAGGTCCGTCCAAAACTCTCCACCTGCTGAGAGTCAATTAGCTCTCTCATCAAAACCTCATCAAAAGTGACATTCCCAGACCAAACTTCCAATTGAGTTTTACCTCCTATCACAACAATTGGCAACCCTTTAATAAGGTGACTCGAATATGTCAACTCCTCAGTCCAGAAACTCTTCTGCAAACCATTGCTTGACCACAAACACTATTCCTTCTCCAGCAAGAAACTATTCTCCAACTTTGCCATCTCATCTAGTTGCCCCAAGATTTCCTCTCCAATGAAATGTCTCCAATTACCTTGAGCTTGTCACGAATACAGAAATGGATCCCTCTTGTACTTCTCACTAAAATCAGAACGAATTACCTTCATCCTTCTGTCTTTCTTACACTTCTTCAACATGTTGTAGACTACTAGGACTTCACTCCAACGGGACTTGGTTGCAACCCAAACATGTCTAGAACAATCGTCAACAAAGGAAAACAGATATCTATTTCCTCCTAATGATGCCTCATTGAAAGACTCCCAAATGCCAACGTGAACTCCATCGAAAAGACCCTTAGCTCGGTGAATAGAGGTGCTAAATTTCACATTGATCTTCTTACTCATATCAAAATGTTCACTGGACTTTAAATTACAGGTCAATGCACCCTTTTTCAAATCAATACTGGAATGATCAAGCCTCAAATGTTGCAGTCTAGTCAAATCAATAGAAGTTGTTAGCTCTCCACCTGTCATTGTATTTCCAATCAAATAGTACAAGTTATTTTTTCTGACGCTTTTCATCAGAATCAAAGAGTCTTCCACAATCTTGAGAACCATGTCCTCAATACGAACTTTCAAACCCTCTCCAACTAAAGCTCCAATCAATGTTAAGTTCTTCCTCAAAGAAGGAATATATCTCACACCATGTAACTCTCTAACCATCCCATCAAACATCTTGATGTAAAGTTTACCTATCCTAAGGATCTGACATGCATGGTTATCACCCATATATATCATACCACTATCCAGCTTCTCAAAACTGGAGAACCATTCCCTTTTAGGGCACACATGATAGGTTGCACTAGTATCCAATATCCACTCAGATTCCTCCGAATAGCAAACTATGGGACTAATCGAGAGCGAATAAACAGATGAGTCAGAAAGATTACCATCCGATATGACGATGTTTGCTTATGATGATGGTTGCTTTCCCTTTCCCTTCTGCTTGTTCTTCATCCATTCACTGAGATTTGGACAATCTTTCTTCCAATGACCAATCTTTTTACACCAAGCACACTAATCTTTTCCAACTGTAGGGTGCCCTACTCTAGACTGTGACTTCTCATTCTTTCGGGTTGGATTCTTCCCTCTTGCGATCAATGCATCTGCTATTGTGTCACTTGTAGACTCATTATCTTTCTTCCTTAGTTGGTAATTCACAAGAGTAGTTGTTATCTCACTATACGAAAGTGATGTCTTCTCATTAATTAGGGTAAGAACAAATGTATCATATTCCTCGTCTAGTAAGGAACTCAACAATAACAAAGCTTTGTCCTCATCCTCTATCATAACATCCACATTCGTCAAATCTGTAAGAAGCTTCGTATGGTGATTCATGTGATCACCAATGGAGGTTCCTTTCTTTAATTGAAAGCGGTAAAGCATCCTCTTTAAATGAAAGCGGTTCTCTACACTCTTGGTTAAATACTTGCCCTTAAGGATCTCCTAAATCTTCTTAGCTGAAGTCTCATTGATCACATCATATTTCAAATCTTGAGTCAAACAAGATCTAATCATACCACACACTATTCTATTCATCTTCTTTCAAACATTCTCTTTAATATAATCTGGCTTGCCATTCAACTCCAAAGTATTCTCCAAATTTTGCGCGTTCAGCGCATCCAAAACCTCACATATTCATAATCCAAAATTGTCTGTGCCATTAAAATTCTCTACATCTATCTTCGTAGGGTGGATATTCAAACTTTGAATGGTCTTTACGTCAGAAGCACTACCCTCAACACCCGATGTACTTTCTTTCCCAGTCATCTTCCTCAATACACCAACAACTAATGCGGAACAAACTGAAGAATAGATCCAAACTGAGAAAAGATAGATTTTTTACCAAAAAGATCCCACATTTATCTCTAATTGAAACACTAGATGAGCTTCCAAAGCGATCTACTCCTCCAAATAGCCCAAGCGTAGCCCGAGCTCTTATACCTCTTGTTGGGAGTACTTCGCGTGTTCTGAGGATTCACAAATTTGCTGAGGGAGAAGACACACAAATCAACTAATAATAACACAAACTCAAACACCAAAGTTTAATGTGGTTCGTCAAATTGTCTACGTCTACGGGACAAGAAGGGGATGGGTTTTCACTATAAAGAAAGAGAAAACAAAATAGAGATTACAAGATAACTCTAAAGCTCACAAATAATCTCTCAAACTAAACTTTCAAATCTCTCACGAAACGCTCAAACAAATTGCTCAGAAATGATATAGAACACACAACAGACATGTTTATGTCAAAGTGGGACAGTCGCAAGTCCAAATGCGAGCCTGGTCGAAGAAAATAACATGTTTCGAAGAAACGGCCGTAACTTTCAAACCGTACATCGGAATTGGACGAATTATATATGAAAATCGATTGTTTCGAAGAAACGGCCGTAACTTTCAAACCGTACATCGGAATTGGACGAATTATATATGAAAATCGACTATCTCGACGAGACGGAGCCATCCAACCGTACATCGGAATTGGACGAATTATATATGAAAATCGACTATCTCGACGAGACGGAGCCATCCAAACCTACCCCATGTGGTTCGGTTTAAGTTCTTAGATTCCCCAAATTCCTTATGGTTTGAGAGATAATTACAATTTTGTCCGTTTTTACTATTTTTAGTAATAATTTAGGAGTCTGTTTTGTTTAGGAAACAAATCCGATTTGATCTCAGATTTGACCGGTGGACTTTCCTATCCATAAGGAGTCTTTTTAGGAGTTTTAATGTTTTAGGAATTCTTTACCATTTTTGGTAAGTTGAGAGTCATTATAGGAATTAGAGTCCTTGTAGGAGTCTTGTTTCTTTTTCTATTTAAGAAGAGTCTTGTAAGACCTAGAGGCATAACTTTTGATTAATAAAATTTTATTTTTCCTTAATATTTCTTTGTGGATTCGAAGCTCTTCGTGGATTCGAAGATCGTTCTTTGTGGATTCAGAGAACACCCTTGGTGGATTCTGAGGTTACAACTTCCGCGCTGTGTCAATTGGTATCAGAGACTTGTTCATCCGATCCGATGGCAGGTGATGAAGCCCCTATCTCTCGAACTGAGTTTGACGTGCTAAAGGCCGATGTCAATATCTCTCGAACTGAGTTTGACGTGCTAAAGGCCGATGTCAATCAGATGAAGACTGTCGTGGAGCGAATAGCAGCGGCAGTAGAGCGTCTGGAGATTGTAGGAGATCGAAATTGTGTTGATGGTCGCCAACGACATGAACCGACTCCGTATGAAGATTCCGACAGCGAGGAAGATCACTATGCACCCCCACGCCACGGTGTTTATCGCAGAGACCGACGACAAAGGGATAATTATGACGCTGGAGGTTTCAAGATGAAGATGGATCTGCCATCTTTCAACGGGCAACTTCATATTGAAGAGTTTCTCGACTGGATTGCAGAAGTAGAGAGGTTCTTTGAGTATATGGAGATCCCTGAAGAACGTAAGGTTAAATTGGTGGCCTACAGACTCAAAGGTGGAGCTTCGGCTTGGTGGGAGTCTATTTGTCTGAATCGATCTCGTCAAGGAAAGCCGAAGGTCGATAGGTGGGAAAAGATGAAGAAGCTACTGAGAGCCTGTTTCTTACCAAGTGATTATGAACAAGTTTTATTTGGGCAGTATCAAAATTTTAGGCAAGGTGGAAGAACCGTGGATGAGTATACGCAGGAGTTCTATCGACTGTCATCCCGTAACAATTTACACGAGAGCGAGGCGCAGCAGATGTCTCGATACATTGGGGGATTAAGGATAGCGATTCAAGATCGTGTATCTTTACAGCATACCTATACATTGGCAGACACGGTTAGCCTAGCCGAGAAGGTGGAGCGACAGCTTGGACGAAATAGTAAAGGATCGTGGGCAGCTTCTGACGGTTCGCGGACGAACTTTAATCGTTGTGGGAATAAGCAGTCTCAAACTGTTCCTGATCAAGATTCTACGACAGAGAAGGGCAAGGGGCCAGCGACAACCGTAGTGAAGAAGCCTACTCCAGTGAACCCTTATGCCAAACCTGACCCAATCAAGTATTGTAGATGCGGACAGCCTGGTCATCGTTCCAATCAGTGCCCTAAAAGAGGTACAGTGAACATGGTGGATCATGAAGATGAGGATACAGACCGAGACGATGCTGAAAACTATGATGATGGGTTGGATGCTGATGATGGAGAACAACTCTCATGTGTTGTGCGACGACTATTGTTGGCTCCAAAGGCAGAAGAACCACCACAGAGGCATAATATCTTTCGAACGAGATGTACGGTGCAACAGAATATCTGCGATGTCATCATTGATAGTGGGAGCAGTGAGAATATTGTATCTCGGCACATGGTATAGAAGTTAGGTCTGAAGACGGAAAAGCATCCCGCTCCTTACAAGATCGGCTGGATTCGCAAGGGTAATGACGTACAAGTTGATGAAGTGTGTCGGGTATCCTTTTCCATTGGCCGAACTTATGTGGATGAGGCATTGTGCGATGTAGTAGAGATGGATGCATGTCATATGTTGTTAGGCAGACCTTGGCAGTTTGATGTTGATGCCATGCATAGAGGGAAAGATAACGTCTACATCTTTAAGAAGGATGGTCGTCGAATTGTGCTCAAGCCTCTAATCGAGAAGGGACCTGTCAAAACCATTGTGGCTGAAAAGAAGAATTTATTGGTCGTTGATTATGAAGACTTTATGAAAGATGTGAAGCAATCTGATGAGATTTATGCCCTTGTAGTTTCGGGAAAAGAGGAGTCTGCCACTGTCGAAACTCCACATGAAGTACAGACCCTCTTACAACGGTTTGATGCGGTTATGCCTGATGATCTTCCTTCTGAATTACCCATGCTTAGGGACGTTCAACATCAGATCGACCTTATCCCTGGATCCCGACTACCAAATCTGCCACACTATAGGATGAGTCCGAAGGAAGGAGAGATTTTGCAGAAACAGGTGGATGATCTCATCCAGAAGGGCCTTATACGACCTAGCATGAGTCCGTGTGCAGTGCCAGCACTACTAGTCCCAAAGAAGAACGGAGAGTGGCGTATGTGTGTGGACAGTAGGGCTATCAACAAGATTACGGTGAAGTACAGATTTCCTATTCCATGCTTGGAAGACATGCTAGACATGTTATCTAGTTCAAAGGTGTTCTCCAAGATAGATCTCAAGAGCGGCTATCATCAGATTCAGATTAGGGAAGGAGATGAGTGGAAGACTGCTTTCAAGACAAAAGAAGGCCTGTATGAGTGGTTAGTCATGCCTTTTGGTCTTTCTAATGCCCCTAGCACTTTCATACGATTGATAAATCATGTATTAAAACCCTTTATCGGCAAGTTCGTCGTAGTTTACTTTGATGATATCCTGATTTATAGCCAGAGTGGGGCTGCACATCTAGACCACTTGAGGGAGGTACTAATAGTTTTGCAGGAGAATAAGTTGTACATTAATCTGAAGAAGTGCAACTTCATGACCAGTAGCCTCGTGTTTCTAGGCTTTGTTGTTAGTGCAGAGGGTATTCATGTTGATGAAGAGAAGGTTCGTGCTATTAGGGATTGGCCTACCCCGAAGACTGTCAGCGAAGTTCGTAGTTTTCATGGCCTAGCAACATTCTATAGGAGATTTGTAAGAAATTTCAGCAGCATTGTAGCACCTATAACTGAATGCATGAAGAAAGGAAAGTTCAATTGGGGGGAAGAAGCAGATCATAGCTTTGCACTGATCAAGGAGAAGTTGTCCACCGCACCTGTGCTTGCACTTCTAGATTTTCAAAAAGTCTTTGAAGTTGATTGTGATACGTCCATCATAGGAATTGGTGGTGTTTTATCTTAGGAAAGGCGTCCAGTTGCCTTTTACAGTGAGAAACTAAGCGAAGCTCGGCAGAAGTGGACCACATATGAGCTAGAATTATATGCCATAGTTCAGTCTTTGAAGCATTGGGAGCACTATTTGATCTCGAGAGAGTTTTTACTTCACACTGATCATCAGGCCTTGAAGACCCTTAATAGTCAGACTACCATCAATCGTATGCATGCTCGCTGGATTGCATATCTGCAGCGTTTCACCTTCGTTTTGAAGCATAAATCTGGGCAGCAGAATAAGGTTGCAGATGCACTCAGTAGGAGGGCTGGATTGTTGGTAACTTTGAAGGCTGAAGTGATTGCGTTTGAGTATCTTAAGGAGCTGTATGCGGAGGATGACAATTTTAAGAAGATTTGGGATGACTGTCTTCAAAATAGATCAGTTAAAGGCTTTCATATTCAGGATGGTTATCTATTTCATGGCGATCAATTGTGCATACCCCAGAGTTTGCTAAGAGAGCAGATAATTCGAGACCTTCATGCTGGCGGACTAGGAGGATATTTGGAACGTGATAAGACAATTGCAGCCATTGAAGAACGATATTATTGGCCTCAGTTGAAGAAGGGAGCAGAAAGATATGTGCGGCGTTGTCCAATTTGTCAAGTTGCTAAGGGACAGTCTCAGAATACAGGATTGTATACACCCTTACCAGTTCCTGATGCGCCGTGGCATGATATTTCCATGGACTTTGTGTTGGGGCTGTCTAGAACCGAACGAGGTATGGATTCTATTTTTGTTGTGGTTGATAGGTTTTCAAAGATGGCGCACTTTATTCCGTGCAAGAAGACTGCGGATGCGAGCAACATTGCCAATCTTTTCTTTCGGGAGATAGTTCGTCTTCATGGAGTGATAAAGTCCATCACATCCGATAGAGATTCCAAGTTCTTATCACACTTTTGGAAGACTTTGTGGCAGAGATTCAACACTTCTCTCAAATTCAGTACTGCCTATCACCCCCAAACGGATGGCCAAACTGAAGCGGTCAATCGCACCCTCGGCAATCTTCTTAGATCTATTTCTGGCGATCGACCAAAACAATGGGATCTTGCTTTGGCACATGCTGAATTTGCCTACAACTGTATGGAAAGTCGGACTACATGCAAGGCACCCTTTGCAATTGTGTATGGAAGGCTTCCGAATCACTATCTTGATCTAGCCCCGCTGCATAAACTTCCTGGACAGAGTGTTCCTGCAGATCATATGGTTGAAAAGATACGTGCTATTCAGTAGGAGGTGAAGGAGAAGATAAAGCAGTCTAATGCTAAGTATAAAGCCGAAGCTGATCAACACAGAAGGAGGAAGGTGTTTGAAGAAGGAGACATGGTGATGGTGTTTTTGCGAAAAGAACGTTTTCCCGTGGGTACTTACAACAAGCTGAAGAATAAGAAGTATGGTCTATGCAAAATACTGAAGAAGATTAGCGACAACGCTTATGTGGTTGACCTTCTTACAGATTTGAATATTTCTTCTAGTTTTAATGTTGCAGATTTGTTTGAGTATTACCCACCAGAAACAGCTGTTCATGCAAGTGTAAGCTCGAGGTCGAGCTCTTTTCAAGTAGGGGGGATTGATGTAGAACACACAGTTTATGTCAAAGTGGGATAGTCACAAGTCCAAATGCGGGCCTGGTCGAAGAAAATAACATGTTTCGAAGAAACGACCGTAACTTTCAAACTGTACGTCGGAATTGGACGAATTATATATGAAAATCGACTATCTCGACGAGACGGAGCCATCCAAACCGACCCCAATGGGTTCGGTTTGCGTTCTCAGATTCGCCAAATTCCTTACGGTTTGAGAGATAATTACAATTTTGTCCGTTTTTACTATTTTTAGTAATAATTTAGGAGTCTGTTTTGTTTAGGAAACAAATCCGATTTGATCTCAGATTTGACCGGTGGACTTTCCTATCCATAAGGAGTCTTTTTAGGAGTTTTAATGTTTTAGGAATTCTTTACCATTTTTGGTAAGTTGAGAGTTCTTGTAGGAATTAGAGTCCTTGTAGGAGTCTTGTTTCTTTTTATATTTAAGAAGAGTCTTGTAAGCCCTAGAGGCATAACTTTTGATTAATAAAATTTCGTTTTTTCTTAATATTTCTTCGTGGATTCGAAGATCGTTCTTTGTGGATTTAGAGAACACCCTTGGTGGATTCCGAGATTACAACTTCCGCGCTGCGTCAAGAAAGAACTCTCTTTTTCTGTGCTTAAAATTTTCCTTCAAGCTACCCCAAAACTCAATCAATATGATCGATGAACCCTAAACAAATCGTGTTTCTATTTATATCAAAACAGAAACCCAACCCAAGTAAGAAAATAAAACAGAACATAAAAACCGTCGTAAGTCGACTTATGAGTGGGAACAGCCTTTTCTACTACTTTACATGAGAATCTTTCGGTTTCCTCCTCCGTATTATGTTCTCATCGTAACGAGTTATACAAAAGTACATGGCAGCTGTGCCATTACCAAGAGATTCTCTCACATTCACATTGTAACGCGTGTTCATGCTTTCAGATCCACGCGTGGGATGTATCTATAAAGAATTTATGGGATTAATTTTATAATTTGCATTATTTATATTGGGGCAGTTTATAAACACATATATACTAGTTGCAAGTTGTAAGAATAAACCCCTCATGGGTTCGTTTTCATTTTAATTAAGTAAGAGAAGGAATATTAACGGTACGTCAATTCCACATGACACCAGCAGGTGCTCAACAGTACTATACGTACCTACTGATTCAAATTATTGGCAATTAATATTCCAATGCTGACATTGTTTTGTTTCAATTATGAAGTAGTTAATATATCTTCAAGCAGCATTTCTCTATAAGATCGAGTTGATCGATAGATGCCTGACTTGTTCAATATCGAGTTTTCATCCACACACCTCTCAAATTCATCATATTTGCATATATTTACCTTTCAATTAAAGGTTTATTTACTGTAACTTGGAGATGGATCGATCCAGGATGTATAACCAGTATAATGATTTGGTATTAATTAACAAATACAAATCTTATTAGAACACCATCTACACAACCAGTGAGGCGTTACATATCACGAAGAATAAGAGGTCAGATTCTGAAATTCTTCCTCGATCGTCTAACCTTCTCATGATGAATGGTTTAGAATACCATGCTTGTTTGTGTTCTAATAAAATTTCTGCTCTTACCAATTCCCGCATTAAACTAAGCAACACTCATTCCCCTACTTCAGCACTTTCCTTCCACTATCCATTGACAGGCTCATGGCCCCATATTTTATGTCCACTAATTATACATTAATAATGTTTAATATGCTTATAATTAAGCATCAACTTTTCCTCCTCTTCTCTATAAGAACCTCACGCAGACCCGAAACTTTTCAAACACCATTAATCACACGCACTAAAAAGAACATCCAAGCTGAGATTTTACTTGGAGGAGTCACAGAGGAGTAGTATAGTCAATTTGTTTCATGCCGATAGCTCGGGGGTTACTGAAGAAGCTGTTTGCTTGCGG